ATATCAATAACAATGAACTTATTAATAATGCAATAAATTAATAAATTGTCAACAACAAATGATGTCATAAGTTAAATTTTGAGAGATTTATCTAAATTAAAAATTTTGTAAGTAAATTTTTTCTCATTTTTTGTTCAAAAGTGAATCCGTTCTTACTGTCTAACTTTAGAAGTACATTTAAATATTTTGCCACATCAAAATATCTTTTAGGACAAGGTCTTCTCGATGGTAAATACCAATACTCATCATTGGACAAATTTAGTCCATCGCAGGTTTTGGTCCGGAGTTGGCACGACTTTTGTCCTAAAGGTTGACTCCAACTCTAGTGATTCCAATCAGCGCCGCATCCTGAAAGCTCCGCTGGGAATGGCGGATATGCTCGAGACTGGGAACCTCTCATGAGAAAAGCAGTAATGGTTAGAAGCATCATTAAGAAATACATGAAGTTGAAGCAGGCGCTCCTTCATCAGCTCAAGTACCCCATTTTCCAAATCCCTACTTCCTACATTTCCTTGGGTGCAGGGCTCTCTATTCTTTATACAACAAACATGTGCTAGTTTTTCATGCATAAAAGGCCGTTTCTTTGAGGGCAGGACTCTCTCTCTCTCGCTCTCTCTATATATATAAATAACATATACTTAGCATTAGTTTTTCATGAATAAAAGCTTGGCCAGCTCTGTCAACTGAGATTTTGTACAGATTTTGTAAATCCGTTGGATGACATTGCAGATTTTCTGAAAAAGCTATGTTTAAGAAAAATGATTAGCAACCATTTTCGACTAGCCGGCCTTCAATTGGGAAGGTTGATGATTTTAATACTAGAGCAGAGGATGAAAGAACAAGTTTGCACATTGCTAGTGCAATTCTTGCCTAATGTCAATACAAGGGTTTTTACTTCAAGTTCAAAACTATTAAATATTAATACGCCTGCCCCGATTCAAGAAACCATATTGTCAAAACATGCAGAATGCAATTATCCAACATGTAAAACTAGATAACCATAATGCATATAAAAGTTGGTAATGATCAACCAGTGTACATCGCAATATAAAACAGAGTTATCCGCATTGCAAAAGTGCTATTCAATGTATGGATGGTCTTCATTAATTACAATACAAGAGTTACCTGTACAACAGGATACAGACCTTTGTTAAGACTACAATCTACTTGTTGAAATAAAAGCCAAGGTCAATTTCATGGTTCATTAACCTGTTCAGCTCTGTAGAACCGCAGCAATTTTAGAGTTGAAACCCTCTCCTGTAACCAAGAAATTGAAATGAAATTAAGACACAAGGCCATAAAATGTTCATGAATGAAAGATTTCATAAGCAGAGTATGGATACCTGAACTACATCTTCCGACTGAGAAGGAAAATGAAAACCAGTTGAACAATTCTTCAACACTTCGGGACTTTTCATCCATGCTCTTCTTGCATCACTGAGTTTAATTTTATATCTGAACATCTGAAAGCAGAAGGAAACCTTAATGGTTGAAGTCACACCATAAAGCATAAACCTTAAACATGCATACTTCGTTCTCTTTTCCCTTTTTCCTTTTTTCCTTTTTTTTCTTTTTTTTACAACAAAAAGCGCAAAATAAGGAAAAAAAAATGAAATAAAATGTCAAGTAGGAGAATTGTCCCATAAAAAACATACTTGAGAAAGAGAGATAATTGGATTTTCTAGTTCATCCCCCTCAATGTTAATACCAGTGCCCTGGCACTCTGGGCAGAGCACAGAAGAAATATGGTTTCCTGTAGCTTTATTTTCTCCATCCTTCCTTGCCTCATTGTTTTTTGCTGCACTTTTTCTCCTAGATCTTCGCCTTCCTTTTTTCCCAACTGCCTGGTTTCCAATCATCTCAAGCTCACAGAGAAGTAACCAATGTATAAGGCAAGAAGTATGAAATACATGAAATGCCTGCATGTGAAAATGATGCAATGTAAATAAAATGTGACCTTCTATCTGCAACATTAAACTTAATATATACAACTACAAAGCCTAACCAAGAAAAAGGCCTTGCCCAATGACCAGAACAATACACACATAGATCAATTGCCAATCACAAAACAAAAAATACATATAGATGTATTTCTATATTAATAACTTAAAAGATTAGGCAGGGTAAAGTTGGTTAGATGCTCTTACTCCGTTCAAATTTCTACTACTACAAGCAAGTTTTCCAGTCTTCAAGTTCATGAGTGTTGCCACATCCTTCTCAGGGAGCATTTTTTGCTGACAGATGTCACACATTCTTTCAGCTGCTATACGTTGTTGCCGTCTCAACTCTCGCCTTACAGCCTTACTTGATATGAATCTTGCATGCAAAAGTTGATCATCATATCTAGCCAACACCAATCTTGATGAAGCACCATTTGAAGATGAAGAATCTTCCCCACATGAATCATACTGATTACATAAAGACTCACTGGTATCCTCTGGGTCAGAAAAAGACTTTTTTCTTTTCCTATTGATGCCTTCAGAATTCTCCAATTCAGCTGGGGAACCAGATGAGAGTAATAACTTGACATCATCGAGCAACCCCTTTCTACCCAGATCAAAGTTATAAGCAAAAGTTACAATGGCAAACTCATGCTTTGGAGTCTTGACCTTAACCTTATCCTCATTGTGTGAATCCTTTTTCCCCAGCCATTCACACCATATTCTGCTAATTCCATTTGAAATATCATCCTTCTCACAAAACCTTGCAGCAATCTGTCCAAAACCAAAAAACTTCACTTTCAAATCAGAAATTTCATCCTTAACAAGCACATATGGAATCACCCTATCAGAATTCCCTCCTTTGCCATTCTTTCTCTTCTCATGCATGCTAAGCTCATCACCAGAGTGATTCAAACCATTATATTTCACAATGGCAAGATTGTTTTCATTGTTGTGAAACTCCAACAATCTACTTTGACTACCATTCACGACTCCCAGCTGCTTCTTGTTCTCAATTGCATTACTAAAGAAGAGAACACCATCATTAAAAGGCCAAGGATTTGGTCCAAACAATGTAACCCTAGCAGCAGACAACCTCTCCGTGTGCAGATTTCCTTTCAAATGATCCAACAATACAGAATCACTATAACACGGTGAGAGACACAAAGTGCAGAAGAATATGAACCTCTTTCCATCCTCACGAAGCTCCACATATGTGTGCCCTTGAGATCTCAAATTGTTAAGAGTAGCTCTTGCCAACTGTTCCTTCAAACTACTAGCAGGTGTCTTTGGAAACCCTAAATCCATTCTTTCTGCCATTCAAAATTTCTTTTTCCCGCCAAAGAGATGTTCACAATCCCTATAAGTCCCCAAAAGTTTCTCAAAACAAGAATCGAAATGTAGTTTTCAAACTTTTCTCAGAATCCAGACTCAGAAAACAACAAAGATAGAAGTCAAACCACGATGATCTCAATTTTGACAAGAACTTCAATCAACACCCTAATTTCCAAACTATAAATTCCTTCAATTTCTTCGAACAACCAAAAATAGCTAATATCCAACAAAAAAGCGCCTGAAACCCTAAGCAGGAAGCTTAGATTCCAAACTAACACTAATAAAAACTAAATCTCAAGCAACCAGCCACCAAGAAATCACCAAATGCCCATTTCATTTCACAATAAACCACCGAATTTCACAATGGATCAAAAGTCTAGATATCTCAGTTCCAATTCTTCAAATTCTAGGTTTTCAACTCGAGAGATTAAATGGAAAACAGAGGAGACAAATTAAAATCAGCAAAGAAAACAACTGCTTAGATTTCAATGACTTTACATATTCGTGGCGTACTCGGTATCGGATTTTTCACAAATCGGAGCGACCGTACACCAGCAGCAAGGGATTGGAACACCATGGAGTGGATGAGTAGATAACCGCTCGAACACGAAATCTCCATCTCCATCTCCATCTCCATTTCAAGCGGCGGAGGGAGAATTCGACGGCGTCAACGAGAAAGAAAAAGGAGAGGAAGTGGGGGAAAATCAGAGGGAAACACAGGGCATGAAGATGAACAAACGGTTCCTAACAGATTTTTTCGATGATTTTATTAGGGATTCGTCTTAATTTATTAAGGTTTGAAAACCGCTTGGGAGTATGATATCCTGTTGAGGGTGTAAGATTATAAGAATATGGGTATTGATATTTGTCCGTTGGATAAGCGTGATTGAAAGTGAGAAGTCTTGATAAACGGTTAGAATTGGTGATGTGATATGTTAGGGTAGTGTGAGAAGTAGGGAGATAGAGCTAGATTCCAAATGCGAATTTTCGGAGGGTGGGATTCTTGCACTTATCAAGAAAGCGCTGTCATTTGTTTTAATTTAATTATTTATTGCGTAAGCAAGTTGGCAATTGTTATAATTTGGAGAGGAATTTGCGGATAAGTCCATGATATTTGTGAAAAAATGCATTTTATTTTATGGCAATAAAATTTGAATAAAAAAACGAAACATACTTGACTGGGCCGATGCTCCCGTGGTCCTCCTTGAAGGGTCTTGGCTCCCAGCTGCACCTTGAAGCGCCAAGCCCATCAAATAAATTGGTTGGCTTCATGAAATTCGTCTTGACTGAGCCAAGCCCATATGGGATTAAAAAATGAGAAATTTCTTTCTCGAATAATGTGCAGTATTCAATTTCAAAAAAGGAGAATGTTTTTTTTTTTTTTTTGAACAAATTCGCATGGATCGAATTTGAACCGTTGCTTAAATGAGAGAAAATATACTTATATGTGACCTAACGCCATTAAACCGAAAGGCCTAAGTGCAAAAAAAAAAGAATGTTTATATTATAAATAGAGAAAAGTATTTATAATCTTAATTTCTAAAAAATTAAAAGGAAACAAAGGCAAAACATGCAACTTACCCCTCAACTTTTTGGTCGGTGACAGATTCCCCCTCAAGTCGATTCAAGTGCAAATCAACCCTCTAATTCGTTGTCGGTGGCAAAAAGGCCCTTGTTTGAAGCCTAACGTCAACAGTCTAGTTAAAACTAACGGTAAGCTGCTTATTTTGGGCTCCATAGGTGACATAGCAATGAACTAGCACTTCTCTTTCTTACACTTGCCAACATGTCACCTATTTTGGAGAAAAAAATTAAAAAAAAAAAAGTTAAAAGGGAAAAACTTTAACATTACACTTCCTAAATTACCCTTCTCTCTCCCTCAGAGTTACAAATAAATTACCACTTTTGTTTGTCTTCCATCTTCTGCAAGCGCAGGTGTGCTACCTAGGAAATATTTGGTTAATTAAACTAATTAAAGAAAATTTAATAGATAAATTGAACAACAATGAAAAGAAATTTTACCCATAGCCTTCTCCAACTTTTCCATCTCCGGAAATATTTTTGACAAGAAGTGCAAAAATTGCGAAAAGCTCGAGATCCATAGGAATTAAAAACACTTTTGAAATAAAAATATGAGTCAAAAACCAAAAACCAGCAACAAAGGAATGATTTGTAGTGATGAATTAAGAAAAAGTGCGAAGAGAACAAAGTCTCAAATTTTGCCATTCCCGCAAAAAGAAAAAAAAAAAAGTCACTGTTTCATCTTTACTATTTCCTTTATAATAGGAGGAAATCCAGATTGTTGGGTTTACTTGGAGAAACACAAGCCAATTCTATGAACATCTTTATAGAAACTGCAGCATGTCTTTGCTTCATTTTAAGAGCAAAATCAAACTCAAAACTCAATCAAGCAATTTATCAAACATCTGGTGCGCAAAACATCGTTGTATTCTAATCCACCAGCCTTTCCTCAAAGCCCCAAATCCACCCATTCTGCCACCAATTTAATTCACTCAATCAAGCACTAAAATGTGAAAATCATCTTGTATCTCCTCAAAACCTTGCAGTGGATTTTGAGTCTAAGTAGGGATGGAGCCAAACTTTTGGGTAAAAGCGGGCATAATCTTAAAATTCTTTAAAATTATGATAATTAAAAGGGGGCAAAATCTTAAAATTTTTTAAAATTATGATAAAGTCATGTCAATATAACTTATATCAATTTTTAATTATCAATTATATAATTTGTTAATAGAATTATATAAACTATTAATTACAAGTTTAGACTTTGATATATAGTTTTATGTAAAAAAAAATAATTATACTAATTTTTATATTAATCACTAATTTTTTGTGTAAATATATTTTTTATTACATACATGTCAAACTTTAAACTAATTAAAAATATTTAATTCTTTTTTAATAATATATTATTCAATATCCTTAAACAAATAATATAAAATAATAAAAAAATATTAATAAGTTGGATCTAGAAAAAATTATGCAAAAAAATTACAAAATTATATTATTTCAATAAACTCTAATTAAAAAAAAAGACAAAATTAGCATATTTTTAGGGTAAAAATGAAAACTATATTAATATTTTTTTATGATACTTCATTAGAACATCCTAATTTTGAAGTGTTTTTGAACTTTTTTTTTTTTACAAGTCTAGTGAATAAATACTAATCTCATATAAAATATAATTTTTTTATATGGTTACAAATATTAATAAATTTTAAATTAAAATATCTAATTCAACTATTGAATTGATAGAATATAAATTATACAAAAAATTATAATTAATGTAAAACCTTTTTTTATACCCAAATAAAATTATTTGTTTTAAGAATTGATTACAAAGAAAGAAATGGTCTCTTTACCTAACTACTAAATATTTTCTTTAAATTCAAAATGATTCTTATAATTCAAACATTAAAAATAAATTTTATACTAATTAAAAATTAATATACCATATTAAACATTTTTCAAAAGTTTAGGGGGGCGGCTTCCTCCCTTTGTCCTATGGTGGCTACGTCGTCCCTAAGTCCATGTCCCTCTGTCCCAACGAACACATCCCCATGCTCCGTTGCAAAGTTCTGGGTTCCTTCCTCTGCCTCATGCCCTGTTCTTCCAGTCTTAGATAGAGGAAAGATAATTTAGGGAAGAGAATATGACAGACAGGAAAAAGGAAGAAAAAAGTAAAAAAGAAAACAAAAATGAAGGCAACACTACACTCGCCACATCATTACCATGTCAATTGGCTATCTAAGCTCCAGCATGTAAAAACATGTCCAGCTTATTGCCATGTCACCCATGGAGCCGACCATTAGCAGCTTACAGTCAGTTTTAACTAGATTGTTTACGTCGGCCTTCAAATAAGGGCCTTTTTGCCACCGACCACGAATTGGAAGCTTTAGTTTGCGCGCGAATCAACTTGAGGTGGTAATCTGCCACCGTCTAAAAAGTTGAGGGGGCAATCTGCATGTTTTGCCCTCTAGAAAAAATATTCCCAATTAAATCATTTAAATAAAATATTATAAGAAATGACCAAAATAGTCTTATTTTTATTTTAAAAATAAATTTTAATATTTTAATTCTTATTTAGTGAAAGTTTACTTAAAAAATAAATTTTGCTATTTTTCTTTTTAATATTTTAGACGTCTAATTGTTCATATATATTATTCGACTTGATTTATTTATTGATAATAAAGACGTCAATGAAACGGAACACAATGGCCCAATGGTTCCAACCTAAGGCTTCGCCCCTTGGGGCTCTTTAATTGTGGTTTAAAACCGCACCAAGGACACATTGAAATATACTTCCCAATTTCAAAAAGGGGGGGAAAATGCCAAAAATAATCACCCCTAACCCTATTCTAGTTGTCCACATTAGGGCTAGGCATTTTTAGATTTGATACTAAAATACAAGAATATTCGAACTAAATTGAAAAAATTTCGCTTGATAAATGGTTAACTTGATTTTAAATTGAATTAAACCAACTAATAAAATTATGGTTTCACTATGGTTGTTATTATATATATAATTGAAAAAATCAAAAAGAGCCACCAATTTAACAAAATTTCTTTCCAAAAAATTATGGTTAAGCCAAAAAAAAACTGCTCAAATCAAACCAAATCCTTTAATATAAGCATGAGAATTTAATTTATAATTTTTATAAATTTAAACATTTTAGCTAAACCCAATCAAACCAAAAAATTTGGTTAACCATAAACCAAAATTTCAAAATTTTAATTCCGTTCGAGTTTGGTTATGTAAATACTAATCGAAAATTTTAGTTAGGTCACCAAATGCAACTGACACCCAGCTCTCGTTCACGTTGACTTCTTCAAGAAAT